ACCTTTGTCCAGTAGCTGCCGTAGAGCAGCTTAGAGGCCTACAGCGCTGTTGGATTTGCGGAGGGCTCTGTGTTCTTTGTGACAACCTGCGATCTGATGTATGGTAGGCATGTAACCCAAGAGTTTAAGGGCGCGGTAACTGCTTTACTTGGAGGTTCATGGTACCTATTAACCAGTTATAACTGTACTTATAACCCACTTATAAGCCCCTTTAAGTGCCCTAATGTGGTTATACGTACAGTTATAAGTACAGTTACAATTTGTTAGTAAGTACCCCTAAACCCTAAGCCCTAAACCTAAACCCCTAAAAACACTTATAACTGCGTAACAAGTACCGCTAAACCTTAAACCCCTAAGTACAGTTATGATTGGTTAGGAAGTACCATGAACCTCCAAGTATTCGGTTTTCTGACAGTCTGTTGCAGGGATCGTGGCGTAAATCTCGCTTGGGTCGTCCGCAGCGGCTGCCTGCCCAAATCTTGCATACACTACGCGCGAAACCCTAAACCCTAAACCCTAAACCCTAAACCCTGAACCCTAAACCCTAAACCCTATACAAACCCCCCTAAACCTTGAACCCGAAACCCTGAACCCTAAACGCTAAACCCCTCTCGGTCAAAGAGAAGACAGAGCAAGGAGATGGGTACCTGGGTGCTGCGGCAGGCCCGTGAGGGGTGATGGCCCTCCAAGCTCTAAAGGTAGGAGGGTTTAGGGTTCAGGGTTTAGGGTTTAGGGTTTATAGGGTTTAGGGTTTAGGGTTTGGGGTTTGGGGTTTGGGGTTTGGGGTTTAGGAATTCTTAGTAAGGAAATAATTAGGGATTGTGGGTTTAGGGTTTAGGTTTCACGGTTTAGGGCTTCAGTGAATCAGAAGCTCTAAAGGTAGCAATTCTTAATAAGGGGGATTGTGGGTTTAGGGTTCAGGTCCAGTTTAAGGTTTAGCTAGTGAATTAGGGATTGTGGGTTTAGGGTTTAGGGTTTACAGTGAATCAGGATCTTGAGTTTGGGGAGAAGAGTGCCTCAAAAGGAAGCCGGTGTCTAACTCACTACTTGCCTAGACTCTGCAAGTAAGCGTGAATCTCATCCCCCTACATGCCATGGGAGAATTGGCTGTTGAGGGTTTAGTGCCTTGGGTTTAGGGTTGAGGGTTTGGGGCTAGGGATCAGGGTGTTTTAAACCTCAAACATTTAAAGAGGCACGAAGCCCTCAACCCTACAACAGCAACACCCTCAAAAGCCCCCTACAGCCCCCAGAAGCATAACCTTGCTAAGCCCAGCCATGGATTCTGAGCCGGAATTATAATTGCACGCGTCTTTCATTCCTTGCGAATTAGGCTTTAGGATGTTACCTCCTGTCCTACTCAAAACCACCGTATGGTCCGTCAGGCTACTCCCATACTTGGGATCATACACCCTATGCTGCGGACTCCCTTAGAGCCGTTTTCGTCCCCGCATCCCCAAGGCATCGGGAGCTTAGGGTCTTGTTTTTTGTCTCAGCACTGAACCCTAAACCCTAAACCCCAAACCCTAAACCCTAAACCCTAAACTTAGAACCTCAACGCGCGATCGCAGTCAGGTCTACGGAATGGATGTCGACGAGCTCCGTGCGGCCCTCAAACCTCCATTGGGGGGGGGATGACAGCGCCCTAAATGGTTGGTTTAGGGTTTAGGGTTTAGGGCTTACTGTTTAGGGTTTAGGGTTTAGGGTTTAGGGAGTTTACGAAAAGAAGGGGCCAACCAAAACAAACCCCCAAATAGTAGGACTCCCCTTATAAGCAGGACCCCCAAAAAATGCACCCCTGAACCCTAAACCCTAAACCCTAAACCCTAAACCCTAAACCCTAAACCCTAAACCCTAAACCCTAAACCCTAAATCCAAAGCCGATAAACGTTGGGGTGCTTTAGGGTTTGGTTTGTGGTGACGCTTCTGAGCACCGGTGAATGAACGTAAGCTTGGAGGTCGCTATAGGTTAAGGTAGGGTTCAGGGTTTAGGGTTTAGGGTTTAGGGTTTAGGGTTTAGGGTTTAGGGTTTAGGGTTTAGGGTTTAGGGTTTAGGGTTTAGGGTTTAGGGTTTAGGGTTTAGGGTTTAGGGTTTAGGGCTTAGGTGGCATTCGACCACCCTTAGCTCTAGTCCCTACCAAAGCTCGAGGTTTAGGGTGTAGGCTTTCGGGGTGCTTGGGTACTTGGGCCTTAAACCCTAAACCCTAAACCCTAAACCCTCCTAAACTCCTAAACCCTCCTAAACCCTCCTAAACCCTCCTAAACCCTCCTAAACCTCCTAAAACCTCCTAAACCCTCCTAAACCCTCCTAAGCCCTCCTAAACCCTAAACCCTAAACCCTAAACCCTAAACCCTAAACCCGGGAAGGGAGGGGGGGGGGGTCGAGTTCAACCTGTCGCTCTGGATCCCTCCGGGTCGCTAAGGCTTTATCCGGCAGCGCTGCGCATCGCACCGTGAGGTTCGGGTTTAGGGTTTAGGGTTTCGGGTTTAGGGTTTAGGGTTTAGGGTTTAGGGTTTAGGGTCTAGGGTCTAGGGTCTAGGGTCTGGGGTTGAGGGCGGTCGGAGGGACATGAGATTCAACAATATTGAGTTCGAAAGGTTGCCAGGGACTGCCTCTGGCTGTTTCAGGCCCTTTTTTAGGTTTTTAGCTTGCGGCTTAGGGTTTATTTAGGGCCCCTACCTAAACCCAAAACCCTAAACCCTCTAAGTCAGACAACTGCCTGGTTTGGCCTCGCAGGTCCATGCGGGGTTAGAGTTTAGGGTAGAGGGTAACCTCTGTTGCCCTACCCATTTGCTCGGTTACTGCAGCTGGCCGTGAACCTCCCGACACCACAAGCATCCTAACCAATCATAATTGTACTTACAGCTGTACTTATAACCTAGGGCACTTCAGGGGTTATATGTGGCTGATGAGTGCAGTTATAATTGGTTAATGAGTACCATGAACCTTCAAGTAGCGAGCTCGCCCGAGGCGAGAATTTCCGTTTGCGAAGTTACTATACTTTCGCCAGCCATGAACCCTATAGACCCTAGACCGTTTAGGGTTTAGGGTTTAGGGTTTAGGGTTTAGGGTTTAGGGTTTAGGGTTGTCATCAGGAGCTCTCCGCCCTCCGCTCTCTACTCTACGCCTCCCGCCAGCGCTGGGCGCAGCGGCGCGCGCGTCGGAGAGGTCCTGTGCGATTCAGGGTTTAGGGTGTAGGGTTCAGGGTTTAGGGTTAGGGTTTAGGGTTTAGGGTTTAGGGCTAGGACGCAGAGTCAGCCCCTATTCCCCGGTTTTTGTGTAGTTTAGGTTCCCTTATACGCCCCTTGAAGGGTACCCTTTTTATGGGGTTATTCTGGGGTCTACGTGGTTTAGGGTTAGGGATTTCGGGGTTTAGGGATAGGCCTGAAGGTTAAGGGATTTAGGGGCTTTCATTTCTATGTTACAATCCAGAAGGACACCCACATACATGCACTCACGACTTTGTAGTAGACACCGCAGCATATATGCGCCATATTTTAGTTTGCCTGCGATTGTGCAGTCCCTGGACCCTAAACTCTAAACCCTAAGCCCTAAGCCCTAAACTCTAATCCCTAAACCCTAAACTATAAACCCTAAACCCTAAACCCTAAACCCTAAACCCTAAACCCTAAACCCTAAACCCTAAACCCTAAACCCTAAACCCTAAACCCTAAACCCTAAACCCTAAACCCTAAACCCTAAACCCTAAACCCTAAACCCTAAACCCAGCCCACATGCCAGGTGTGGCGGCAGGGCTCCAGCACTCCATGGTCATCAAAGAAGGCGCGGGGTGTGGGGTTTAGGGTTTAGGGTTTAGGGTTTGGGGTTTAGGGTGGATGTAGGGTTTATTGGTTTATTATGGCTAAGCGTCGGAGGATCCGAACTCCCAACAAGCCTCCGGAGCTTTGGATGCGGTTTAGGGTTTAAGGTTTAGGGCTTATAAGGGTATAGGGCTCTCTCTTTTTCGGGGATCCAGAGGCCCGATTCCTCAAAACTAGCTCACCCCGCCAAAGCCCTAGCCCTACGAACCCTAAACCCTAAACCCTAAACCCTAAACCCTAAACCCTAAACCCTAAACCCTAAACCCTAAACCCTAAACCCTAAACCCTAAACCCTAAACCCTAGACCCTAAACCCTAAACCCTAAACCCTAAACCCTAGCCCTACGAACCCGAGAAACCCTATCAGCCCGATTTGCCATATAAGCCCGATATGCCCCAATACATGGCCCGATAAACCCTCTAAAGCGGCCAGAATCCCACAAAGCCCTTATAAACCCTATAAACCCGATAAGCCCCATCAGGTGTATAAACCCTATAAGCCCTACAAATCCTGTCAACCCTAGAAACCCAAAAAGCCCTAAACCCTGAACCCTGAACCCTAAAGGCCCTAAACCCTATAAACCCTATAAACCCTATAAACCCTATAAACCCTATAAACCCTATAAACCCTATAAACCCTATAAACCCTAAAGTTTCCCTAAACCCTAAACCCTAAACCCTATAAACCCCTATAAACCCTATAAACCCTAAAGTTTCAGCTCAAAGCCTGCTCGAACCTCATGTTGTTTAAGCTCCTGGCACTTACAGTCTTAACAACCAAGTTTAGGGTTAAGGGTTTGGGGTTTATAGGGTTTAGGGTTTATAGGGTTTAGGGTTTAGGGTTTAGGGTTTAGGGTTTAGGGTTTAGGGTTTAGGGTTTAGGGTTTAGGGTTTAGGGTTTAGGCTTCCTAAACCCGAACAACCCCAATAGTCCCAACAACCCAACTTGCCGTCATTTTTTCAAGAATGAGCAAGATGCGGATTTCGAGGTAATGGCGCACAGGGTGCATGTTGCGGTTTAGGGTTAGGTTTTCGGGTTTAGGGTTTAGGCTTAGAGGTGAGTGAACCCAAGTTGCCACACAAGTTTCTGTCATCTGGGGGGCCCTGGTGGGGACAACTTTACATCTTCGGAAAGCCAGAAAGTGCACATTTTTTCAGTCAGCCCCTGCCTTGATCACAGCAATGTTGCGGATTCAGATGATGACTTCTGGCCAAGAGGTGGCTTGCTTGGAGCCGGAGGAGTTGCTGAGCGTCGCTGGCGACACTGCTGTGGGCCACGTCCGCGCCCTCAAGCTCCATCTCCAACGGCTCTGTGGACATTCCCGGTTTCGACAACGGCTCCTGCAAGAAGATCAGCACATTTTGGCCGACGACGCGGCGCTGGAAGCACCTTGCCTTTTGCACCTGGTGATTTTGGACTTTGCCGAGACGTCTGGCGATGATATTGACAGGCTGCTCCATGCGGTGGAAGCAGACGAGACAACACAACTAGAAGCAATCTTGCAGAGACCCCAAGATCCAAACTTATCGGCGCAACACAACATGACAGCCTTACATGTTGCAGCGAGATCTGGCCACAAAGTCGCCGCAGGTTTGCTGCTCGAATCTGGCGCAGGAATCGACCAGACTGATGGCCGTGGAGCCACGCCACTTTTCACCGCAGCTCAGGGAGGGCACTTGGAAGTGGCGCGCTTGTTCCTGGAGTTTGGTGCGGACAAGGACTTGGCCACAGCAAGCGGAGCGACGCCACTTCTGATCGCAGCTCTGCACGGACACTTGGAAGTGGCACGTGTATTGCTGGAGTTTGGTGCGAACAAGGACCTGGCCCGTACAGATGGAGCCACGCCACTTTTCTTCGCAGCTCAAAGCGGTCACTTGGAAGTGGCGCGTTTGTTGTTGGACTCTGGTGCGGACAAGGACCTGCCCAAAACAAGCGGAGCCGCGCCACTTTTCGTCGCAGCTCAGGAAGGCCACTTGGAAGTGGCACGCTTGTTGTTAGAGTCTGGTGCGGACAAGGACTTGGCCAAAACAAGTGGAGCTACGCCACTGTTCATCGCAGCTGAGAGGGGCCACTTGGAAGTGGCACGTTTGTTGCTGGAGTTTGGTGCCGACACGACCCTGGCCAGCGCAAGTGGAGCCACGCCACTTTTCGTCGCAGCTCAAAACGGCCACTTGGCAGTGGCGCGTTTGTTGTTGGAGTTTGGTGCGGACAAGGACCTGGCCAAGGGAGACGGAGCCACGCCACTTTTAGTCGCAGCTCAGAATGGCCACTTGGAAGTCACGCGCTTGTTGTTAGCGTCTGGTGCGGACAAGGACCTGGCGATGCCAAGTGGAGCCACGCCACTTTCCATCGCAACTCGGAACGGCCACCTGGAGCTGGCACGGTTGTTGCGGGAGTTGGGTGCTGACACTGACATGGCCAAAGGAGATTGACAGAGTCGCCACGTGGTACCCTTTTTCGATTTTTTGTGGATTCAAGGTTCCCTTAGTCCTTCGTCCCTAAACCCTAAACCCTCAACCCCAAACCCCAAAGCCTTTGCCTTAGTAGCCAACCCAAAGAAGTGTGCCCTTATTAGAACATGGTTGCTGGGCTACCCAGTTGATGCCGCTTTTCGCGGCGCAAGGTCGCCTGGTGTATGGTACTTCTTAGGTCTTAGTTATAGCTGTACTTATAACTCCTAACCATATTAGGGCACTTATAGCTAAGAAGTACCATGAACCTCCAAGTAAGGGTGGGACAGCCGCCCTAGATAACTCAGATCGGATTGGAGAAGAGTGTGTTGTGTTGAGAGCATGCTGTGAGTCCAGCTCCTGAACCCCCAACCCAAAACCCCTAAACCCAAAACCCCTACTTCCCCTAAGAAGTCCCCAAACCCTGTAAGGCTCAAACCCTAAACCCCCAACCGTACAGTCTAAATCAATAAACCCCCAAACCCCGAAACCCTAAACCCTAAGCCCCAAAACCCCGAACCCCAAACCCAAAGCCCCAAACCCCAAAGCCCTAAACCCCAAACCCTAAACCCTAGACCCTAAATCCTAAACCCTAAACCCTAAACCCTAAACCCTAAACCCTAAACCCTAAACCCTAAACCCTAAACCCTAAACCCTAAACCCTAAACCCTAAACCCTTTCCGTGTTTTTTTGTGTTGCGAGGCACAGCCTTGACTTGGGGAGCCGCCTCCAGTGGCCAACTGGGAAGGCGCCTCCCCTGCGCTAGAGGTAGGGTTGAAGGCCGACTTGGGGTTCGAGGGTTTAGGGTTTAGGGCTAGGGTTTAGGGTTTAGGGTCTAGGGTTTAGGGTTTAGGGTTTAGGGTTTAGAGTTTAGGTTTTAGGGATGTTTTGAATTCAGGGTGGGTTCAGGGCTTGGGGCGGTGTTGTGTTTAGTTGTCATGTTTCGAGTGTTTTGTGGTTGAGCGATTCGGTGTTTTGGGGGCTTTGGGAATGGGTTTTGGTGTTGCAAGTTGGCAGCTCTGGGTTTCTTGGGTTGGGGTTTAGGGTGCGCAATGCCTACGGACATCTTTGCCAACGAACAATTCTGCACAATGCCCACGAACAATTTTGCACAATGCCCATTGCCCATGAACAATTTTGTGCAATGCCCACGCGCGGTTTAGGGTTTAGGGTTTAGGGTTTAGGGATTAGGGTTTAGGGTTTAGGGTTTAGGGTGAGTTTTTCGACCATCCCACGAACATTTGGCCAACACCGGTGCCCACAGCATTCTTGCTCAAGGCCCCACGAGATTTTGAACAATGCCCACGGATGAGTTAAGGGTTTCAATATACATATATACATATATATATATATATGCTTATATATGTATGTGTGTATTTCTTCTTCCTTTGTATTTCTATTTATGTATGTAGTATATGCATGTGGCGTCGAGGTTCAAAAAAGAGCTTAGGGTTTAGGCTTGAGGTTGGATGGTACAGAGGTGGAGGGGTTTGAGGGCTTTGTGGTTTAGGGAGAAGGTGTGCTAGGGCTTTGGGGGCAGGGTTTGGGGTTGAAGGTGAAAGGTATATGGTTGATGGGTTTAGGTGTTTGCGGGTTGACAGCTCTGGGTTTCTGGGATTGGGGTTTTGGGGTCTAGGGTTTAATGTAGCACCCCTTCTAGTATCGCTACCCGCTTTTATGCGCATTTGGACAAAAACGTGAAAGTAAAAAGTATTTGGGGTGCCCCTATAGAAAACGTTGTAGTATACTGTTTGGGATACCCGCATTGATCCGGAGCCGGCCTGGCAAGGGCTTGTGATCCTTCAGAAGGCCTGGAAACCTTAAACCCTCAAACTTCAAGGCTTGGCCAGATTCTCCTTAACCCTCGACCCGTACCCGCCCTCCCCCAGATCCCTTTTTTTTTTTTTTTTTTTTGGGGGGGGGGGGGGGGGCGGGGGGTCCCTTAGATACTCAAGCGAGTGCAACACTGATATCACCCACAAGCTTTAAACCCTAAGCCTTAGTAAGCAAACAACACTGGACCCTAAACCCTAAATCCTAAACCCTAAACCCTAAACCATAAACCCCAACGCTCGAAATCTTGCAACGCCCAGGGGTTCGCCAGCAGAAAGGCCAGGCTGCCCTCCTGGGGGTCGTCTTGATGTTACCTGTAGGCTGATGCATTTTCGGGGTTGGGGGGTCCCTAAACCCCTATAACCCTATAGCCCTATAACCCTATAACCCTATAACCCTATATCCCTATAACCCTATAACCCTATAACCCTATAACCCTATAACCCTATAACCCTATATCCCTATAACCCTATAACCCTATAACCCTAAAGCGGGTTTGGGGTGTAGGGTTTGGGGTTCAGGGTTCTGTTGGTGCGTCCATGTAATAGGTATTCATGTCAGCTTGGGTGATAAGTCTTCTTGCTTTAATCAGGGAAGGAAGGGGTTAGGGCGTACGGTTTGTGGCAGTTAGTGGGCCCCCTCCCTGTAGAGCTTGGGGGGGGACCCTAGATGGACGGTCAGGGTTTAGGTTCTGGTCAAGGTTTTATTTGGTCCTGTTTGGGGTTTAGGGCTTAGGGCTTAGGGCTTAGGGCTTAGGGCTTAGGGCTTAGGGCTGAGGGCTTAGGGCTTAGGGCTTAGGGCTTAGGGCTTAGGGTTAGGGTTTGGAGGGGGGGGGGGGGGCGCGGGCAGACATGTTGCGCAAAACCAGGCACGAGAATGGTTCTTCGCGCCTTGTTTTTTTTTTTTTTTTTTGGGGGGGGGGGGGGGGGGGGGAAGCGGGGCTATAGCCGTGCACAGTAACATATAAGGGTTGGGATACCTTAAACCCTAGAAGCGTTGTAAGGTGGCTAGCAAAACGCCAGTATTCTCTGTGCACGACTATCGGCATTGCATCAACTACCTTAAATCTCCAGTAGAAGTCATTCTATACAAGATGAGCTTGCTACCTAAAAGTAATGCTCATTGTAACTCATCAGGTCCCTACACCAAACTAGGCCGAACCCTGCTACATGCATGACCTCGGCACCATGGGTTTGATGCACATACGTATAATGCACATGATCGTATACATCTTACTGGTTCTTAAAGGGGGGAATTTTGAAAACAACGATACCCCCCCCCCCCCTGCCTCCTCCTTAAAACAGAAAGATTGGGACGGCCCGTTCTAGACTCTGGGGCTTAGGGTTTAGGGTTCAAGGTCTAGGGCAATAATGGACAAGAGCCCTACCACCTTTTCCCGGCAGGTTTCACTCGGTTCCAACGCCCGTTCCACTCCACGTACCAGTTCACATGGTGGCGCCTCGACTTAAGATGTTTGCCGGTAGGGTGCAGTAAGTGTTTTGTCGTCAGGGATGGGGGGTTCACAGTAGGATGGCTCCCAAACAAGATACCAACTAGCCAAGTGAGGGACAGCCCCCACCCTCAAACCGACGCACACCCCCACCCTCACCCACCCTCACACAATGCACACGTGAGAGAGAGGGAGAGAAAGAGAAAGCAAGAAAGAACGAGTGAACAAGCCTGACCCTTAAACCCTTAAACCCTTATACCCTAAACCCTAAACCCTAAACCCTTCGGCTTCAAAAGTCTGGAGACAGAGTGCGGTGACCTTTTGTTCTCGTTCCTGAGCCTATGGGCATGATCATCTCACCCCTTTGCGCCCACCAGACCCGAATTCCAGGAACCCTAAACCCTAAACCCTAAACCCTAAACCCTAAACCCTAAACCCTAAACCCTGATCTAGAAAAAGTCAGGAGCTCTGGCTCCCCAAGGTTCTTAGCCTTGAACCGTGCGCAGCTCCTCATAACCTTGAAGCGTGAGCCACCCCTAAGCTCACCCCAACTCTCCCACCCCAAACCCCGAACCTCAAACCCTAAACCCCAAACCCTAAACCCAAAACCCCAAACCCTAAACCCTAAACCCCAAACCCTAAACCCCAAACCCTAAACCCTAAACCCTAAACCCTAAACCCCAATTGTTAGCTAAACCAAAGTTGGCCTCCCTGAGGCCTGCGGTGGGGAGCACAGGTCTTGCCCCAGCTCCCGTCATGGCTGTTTCTTTTTTTCTGGGAGGGTTCAGGGTTTAGGGTGTTAGGTCATGTTAGGGTCATGCTCCAAGGGTTTAGGGTTTAGGGTTTGGGGTTTAGGGTTTAGGGTTTAGGGTTTAGGGTTTAGGCTTCGCGGAGTTTGGGACTTGCGGGCCTGTGCCGGCTATGCTTAGCACTCAACTGCGCTGTACGCCAAACCCTAAACCCTAAACCCTAAATCCTATACCCTAATCCCCGGCCCGAAACCCTAAACCCTAACCCCCTAAACCAACCCGAAGCGCTCAACCCCCCCAATCTCCAACTTTTGCCCTGATTTTAGGGGTTCTGATAGGGTTGAGGGTTTTTTAGGGTTTAGTTTAGGGTTTAGGGTTCAGGGTTCAGGGTTCAGGGTTTAGGGTTCAGGGTTTAGGGTTTAGGGTTTAGGGTTCAGGGTTTAGGGTCAAAGGTTCGGGCAGCGGCCTGCTGAACCTGATCTCTTGTGGAAAGTGCCCCTAGATCCCAAACCCTAAGCCCGAATCAAACATGAAACCCTAAACGCAAACCCTAAACCCTAAACCCTAAGCCCTAAACCCTAGACCCTAAACCCTAAACCCTAAACCCTAAACCCTAAACCCTAACCGTGACTGGATTGACGATTGTTTCTCGCTTCTTGGGTCCTGGCTTGGGGCAGTTTTGTGGCGACTGAGGCTTGTCTGAAACCTTAAAGCCCAAAACCACAAAGCCTAAGCTCAAAGCCTAAGCTCAGAGCCTAAACCCCTAAACCCTAAACCTTAAACCCCAAACGCTAAAATCTGCAAGCTCGGCTCAAAAAAAGTGGCGGGGAGGGGCGCAGCAGTGGTGCCTACAACGCGCCTCGCAAGCATTCGTGGGTTTAGGATTTAGAGTTTAGGGTTTAGGGTTTAGGGTGTAGGGTTTAGGGTTTATAAGGGCTTAGGGCTTAGGG